TTCATTAAAATTTTAAATTTCATATAAATTTATTTTCTACAGGTATAGGAAAATGAATTTAGTTGTGTCAAAATTTAAAATTCCAAGTTATTTTATTAAAATCGGAAAACAAAAAAAATCAGGAAAAACTAGAATTTTTTGGCAAAATTATTTTTTAACAAGATCGGTTTTCTTATTTTGTCGTAATTTAAAAACGAATGTAAAAACTTGAATTTATCAGCTAATTTTTTCGTCAGCATTTTATATACAAAATATAGTTTGACTTTTTTGAGTTATTTTACACTATCGACTATATTATATAGCGTTTGATCCAATAATTTTATGATATAGCTGATAATTTGGTCAATGTAGGTAGGTATAATAAATAGGTATACATATTTTTATTATGTCCGTGTTTTGCATATTAGGACCTATATTTACAATAATCTTTTTAGAATATAAATATTATTGTTTTTTGTATGATAATAAAAACATATATAGAGTAGTAATTCTCTTATGATCTATATACCTAACGGTACTCGTTATAAACTTGAAATATTTATGTATTATAACTTTTTTGAGTATGGACACCTGCCAAATTTATATATCTTGTCAAGGCATAACTTTATACATAATACGAGATTTAAACTTTGAAACACCGACTGAGTTATTGCAGTCAAGGTTTACACTACAGACTACCAACTACAACATGAAAACCAAATTGAGCTATTTTTCAACCAATAACACATAGATACATAAAGGTTATAACTTATAATAATGTATTATTATTTCTTTACTAGTTTACTACAGCGACATTAAGCTGCAAGCTTTACTGCAAGTGTGGGACAAACGGTAGAAATATGTCCGTATATTATGACTTACGGACACGAAGTCTTTGAAATGAATTTATTCATTTTAAATATAGGCACATACGCCAACCAGCAACAGTTAACATCATCGGGTTAACGTTCCTTCACTCACGGCGATAGCAGTCTCGTTTTACTAGTATAATCGTAAAACTATATAAATATGGTCGTTCATTCGTAATAGTTTTTAAAAAAAACCAGCAGCTACCGTTACCACATCGCCACCTTCTGAATACTACCGTCGTCTATATTATTATTATTACATATTAAGATAAACATAATATTATATTTGCGTTGATCATTTTGGGCCTATAAGAAGTATACATGTGTATTGATCAAGCGCGGCGAGTGAAACGAGTGAGAGGGGAGAGCATACATAAACTCGTGTATATACATATATAATACATTATACACATAATATAATATTGGCGCCATGTCTACAGGAAAGATAAAAACAACTTAAGTTGCGCAATTGCCTACGGGCAGTTTAATAACGCTTATGCTCTTCGGCAACAAAATGCATATAATATATGTAATTACCCTAGGATTGCGTACGGACAAAAACAGAGCTATACAATCAAGGGTGAAATCCCAGAGAAGGAATGGAGGGTTGACGGAGGAGTCAATGATAATTTTTTCGACCACTCGTATCAGTAAACATCAAACAATCAATTTTCGTCGACTCGTCGTGTTATCGTTGGTCATGTGCGACCGGTCTGACACCATGTGATATTAAATTAAAGTGACAATCATGTTTGGCGCCAAATTAAGAGGTCTCAATTCCAGTAAATATTAAAATTTAACTGCAGCGGTTCCAATGCATGCTAGTTTTAAGCCACGATTAAAACACTAACGGCAAACGAACAATTAATAATACAAACTGATATGAATAAGATCCTCGACAAGATCATAATTACAGTTCACAAATATTATAGAATCTAGTATTAAAGTACGTACAATTTTCTACTTCTATGCAGAATTCCTTTGTAGCATAAGTGGTATCTAGTCTCCTAATATCTACGCATGATTATATTATAATGTAGTGCATGTAACAACAAGGGCTACAACCAATATCAGATCTATAATTTTATAAACTACCTAAATACTCGCGTACGAAATGCTTATAAATATAAAAGCATTATAACATTTTAACAAACCCATTATAGTTACATAAATAACTTAATTAATGTATCAGTAAAGTATTATACGAATCTCCAATTAAAAAGCTAGGTACAGCCTAAAATGTTAATACATTTCAGTAATCTGGGCGTTATTAGTATTTACGATTTTGGATGATTGTAAAACTCTATCTCAGTTTTAATATAATGTAGACGGTACCTATGTTTATTTCAATGTTAGATTTTGAACTATAAATCGCCAATGTTTATTTAAATATAATAACTTGAATAATTATCATTTATAATAATTAATAAATAAGAAAACTAAAAACACAAGTGTACATCAATTGTATGTAATATAATAACACGTGCTACCTATATCGATTTGTAATTTAAAGTAAATTATCTGTTTAAGTTTTGTTTTCAAAACAAAGTTAATCGATAAGCAATAATTCAAAAATAGTTTCTATATACGTACTTACTATAATGTGCACCTACAAAATATTTAAAATTTTAAGTAAGTATATATACTGAATATACCTAAAACAAATTAATCATATTTACAATTGCTACAACTAATAATTACACAGAAAAATATAATCGAGGTATTCTTTAAGCACATTAAATTAAAAAAACTCTTATCAAATTAATATTGTTATATAGGTACCTAATAACTAATAAATAATACGATATGTATCTATTATTGCTCCATATAAATAATGATTTGTTGAGTTCCAAAAAGAAAGAAGATAGGTAAACTCATGGGCGCCAATTGGGGGGGGNATTTTAAAAAAATATGTAACTATATAAAAATCTAATTATAAAATTAAGAACCTTTATGCACCTCCGTGCTCATCTGTTATTTAAATAAATACTTACTAGAGTTTAATTTTAAATACTGTGATTTAAACAATCAAAAAAAAGGTTAATAATTTACAAAATGTCCACTAATTCTTAACTCTTATAATTTGTACTTAAAATTGAAGCAAAAACCAATTATAAATATTTTTACTCATTCAACAGACTAAGCCTTGGATTTAAACAGAATATTGGACAATGTCCACGTACTTAAATAATATAATAAAATAAAGGTATACCTATATTTTCGTTTAAAATATAATAATTTTAATTTGTTTGAAATATTCATCATAGGTTTGTTTTTTTGGTAAGAATTGTATGATATTTTACATGTAAAATAATCGAAATAAACAGCATTTCGGGTGCAATCCCAAATTTAAATGAAGGTCTCCACGGTCAGTTCATTTCATAGACATGTTAAGCCTTGACTTCAGATACACTAGCATTTATATTTATAGTTTAGAAATAAATAACACATAGGGACAATTTTCGTTTTTTATTAATATTTTACAGTGATTGGTACACCTATCTAAGTATTTTTTCCTAGTATAAATAATATTCGATTAATTTAAACAACATGCTTGAGTAAGTTTATAGTAATCCGAAAATACTTGAGGAAATATGTAGGCCCACCTGTAAATATGTTTATACGTTATACCTACCTTAATTATACTAACATAGGCACAATGGAACATTTTTTGTTATAATAAGTATCAAGATAAAAACGATTTTGGTACGTATCATCACACAATTTTTTTAACTAAGTTATACCGCAGCCTATAATAATATTATTTGTCTATTATATCGGAATGTTTTATCATTTTTGAATATTTAACAATTCATTTCAAAATTACATATCATAAGAGTTGTATAATTAAGTTATCCACCTATACTACATAAACATCTGCATAGAAATATGCATAATATGATGTATATTCGAAACAGTTATATTATAATATTAAGTCTTTAAAATGTCGTAAAGGTTTAAAGGTCGTTTGGTAGACGAAAAATAACTACTGCCAGTTATAATATTGTTATCACGCTATAGGCACATTATAATTCGTAATATTATACTTAGATATTTGGACGTTAATAATTATAAAGGTCTCTGAAGGTTGAAAAAATCGCCCTACAAACCATGTCGCACGATCGATTTGACGTTATTAATAATTCATTAAAAACCAAACGTAAAATCGGAACAATGACTAGTTGTTTTTCGCGTAGTATATATTGTAGTCGTAGACAGTATTATTTTAAACGTGTCCTGCGATGCGTGCAGCGGTGTCTCGACGTAGTGTTATATTATTATGGTCGTTTACATGTGTTGAAACAAAAAGAGAAGTGTATAACTGGTAGGTTGGTCTATAATATACAACAACTGAATGACGTACACTTGCACCGGTGCAGTTTTTCATACAAATCGCGTTTCCCAATTAAATAAGCCTTACAAAATAATTATTGCGTCTCTCGCAGAACGTTTTTCGAAACATATAGGTAATAGGTACTGCAATCGAACATAAAACCAGTTTCGAAAAATCACGTCGCTGGCAGAAGCTTTTGACTTCCCCTGTCACGCGACCTTAAAACACGTTGACGTTCTGTTTCCTATAATATAATAACAACGCCGGCGAAATGATATTTCCTGTTTGTCGACGATGAATCGACAATAAAACCCGCCAAAACGCAACACACGCGGTTAAATAATATTACATTAATATAAGCACTGACTATAATGTAAAATATAGGTAATTACAATGTAAATTAGAACTAATGGCCTAGTAGCAATATTATACCCAGTGATAAAATATCGAATAGACTAAAATCGTATGAAATCGAATGGTAAATAATTACTTATTGGACGCATTGGATATTAATAACTAACTATCTAATCATTTGAAATAAAATGTTCTTCCTTCGAATTTACCTCCTACATCGGACGAAAAAGGTCACCCGCTTGGACTAGGTTTAACTCGCGATTGTCGGCGACTTAATATATTCCGAGTACTTATTTATAATAATAATATAAACGATAGGTACAACAACTACGATAGTAATATTATTATGTAATAACATGATTTATTATACTAATCAAAATATTTTATTCAATAATAATATACTAATGCACCCTAGATTGGTACAATGGCGGTAGCTGTAATATTAGGTAATACGAAAAACTCACGTTTCTTCGACGGAGTGTACGGCTTGTCCCGCGCAAATAGTGCAATTGTAGTATTATCCAAAACGTCGACAGGTAAGTGCACCGAACGGATAATGGCAACGACAACGCGGATGAACGTATAGGCAAATAACGATCGCCGCGGACACAGTCGATAATATTATTATTTCGCACCGTCGACCGACCGCCGGCTCATCGGAGGGGTGGAAAATCGATAAGAACCGGTTGAAGTTTTTCGGCTACGGATATGTTTAAAATACAATCGTTCTGTATTATTATTATCGAGTCGTCTGCGATCGCGGCTGGCGTTCGGAAAACCGTCGTACCACGGGCACTTTTGAAATTCGAATCGATACCCGCGTGGGCACGCGACCAGAAAGACTAAATAAAACGACACTGCGCGCGAAAAATTCTCTCGGTCGACAAGCCCTGTGAGAGGGACAAAATATTCTAACTACGATTTATTATAATATTATATCACACAATAAACGATATTATACGGACAGTGCGTGCGTGCGAGCGTGTTCGAACCAGCCGGTCGCGATACGTATCGGTGTGCGCACTGACTGTCGTCTGCGTGCGTGTGTGCGTCGGCCGGCGAGCGAACGTTTTGGCCGGAAGGTCAGCTGATTAGAAAGAAAGTACCTGCCGCCTCGGTGGTGGGAGTCACGCGACGTCGATCGCGTATCGCCGCGCACGTATAATATTTTTATTATTTATTATATTATTATTAATTATTATACATTATTTTATTATTATGGTACGTCTACATTTGGTGCGATGTTATTATTATTGTTACATTGTTTGTTATTGTTATTATGTGTTATTGGCCATTACGAGCTTCCCTTCCACCCGCTCCGGTGGGTTCGTACGCGTTTGCATATTTTTTTCTGGTCCATCTGCAATGTGCCGACCGAGCACGTTGTTCGTTGGATGGCCACAACGTCAAACAATTGAAAATACGTGGTATTCTATTTTAGCGAATTTATAGCATGCCCCATGGGCCTCAGGGAGCATATAGTTTCATTAAAGTAACCATGGTATATACAGGATCTACCCTAGACGCGGTTACGTTTTTATACACTGTCTTTGCACGGAGTCCGTAGTTATAAGCTATACTATAATATAGACTACAGGTACGATTTTACACAAAGTTGTTTTTCTCACCAATCGAAGTATTTCATTTACCCACCGAATTCACACCCTATTCAATTATTATTTGTATCGTTATCGGTTTTACTTTATTTAATACCGCCGGTCGCTGCAGATCTAATGTACATTTTAAAATTTAGCTCATCTATCATATAAATAAACGGACAAGTGTTACTTGATATTTTCTCCGCTGCACGGAAAAACATTGAATCATAGATATGTTTCTGCGGGTCCTTGTAGCAAATATTCAGAATTCAATGTTTTTCCTTACAGTGGAAAAATATCAAATAGCACTCTAGCGGAAACTTAACTTAGCTCGCTACAGTTTATTTTTGTTGTTGTGTGAACCGTGAAATGGTTTATGGAACGAATGTATTGAATTTGTATGGTGAAAAAACATATAAATCAGTTATGAGCTTAATTAATCAAATTTTTTTGTACCTGGTGTAAGTATTTGAAATGATAGTTTCATTATATAAGTTAAACTTATTATGTATGGTCGAAGACACAACGGTAAGAGCACAAGCCACCAGGCTTCAACTTACCACCTGCCATAAAAACCAAACTAAACCGTATTAGAACCGAGCAGGGAAAGTGTTATGTGTATGTTTATAATTTATTTTATTGTTTACCTTTTTATATCAGTATTATTATATGTATGTCATGCCGGACATGCTAAAAAAATATGTCTGCATCTTTGTAATGAAACTATACCTAATATCACTAAAAATATAAGCAACATTGTGTGTTTATTGATTATTGAAAAATATAAATATTTAAATTTAGTAGTAGGTAACCAGCAGGTTACTACTTACTATGTTGCTACTAGGTACCTAATCATATTTTGATACTTGATAATGATGCAACCAATATTGCAGGTTTGTTGATAATGTGATAGGTAACTGATTAGTTTCTTACAATGAATATAAATATATGTACCACGATTAAAGCAATATACTACCTAGTCCCTACCTACCTTTAATCGTGATAAAACTAATATATTAGTATGTAAGATGTATTTTTTAGTAGTAGTGGTTCAGTCATACTACATTACTGCTTATAGTGGAAAAACAGTATGCATGACGCACTAATATGAGCATTATGTCAAACCCTAACATATTAATAATAATAATAATAATATTAACCTGTGATACTTAATATACCTACATAGGTGACTGATTTGCATTTTGACCTTGACACGCCGCCTGGAGTTTATCTTCAGGAAACAATAGTGACAACGGCTCTCAAATGTTTGTCCAGAATGTCGTTGTAGTGCACACTACTATATTATAATTTATAATACTTGCGGACGGCTTTGAAAAATTATTCAACCTAGAAAAGTTTCAAAATTCAGAAGACGTCACGGACGTGATGAAAACGGTCGTCGGTTTCGAAGGTCTCAGATTTCCTAGGAAGTAAGATTGGCCATTGACCTGACGGAGAATATTGTGTGCACGTTGCAACTTGCAAGAAGTGCATAGATAATAAAAACATGAATAAAGCAACATCTTATCAACAGTGATCAATGAATCCAATTGAGGCCAAATAAGTGATAGGTACCTACTAATATCTATTATCTACTGTAAATATATTATAATTATATTATAAAAAAATATAAACAAACGGCCTCAATATTTTGTCACTTCACGACCTCAATAATCAAGATTTTCAAGAAGAAAAATTCGATACGTATCGATACGTACCACCTCGTATCGAAGTCCGAGTCCGATACGGGTCGGTACGTATCGCTTGTATACTGCACGTGTAACTTCTTGAACGCTCAACATTGCCTCGATACGTATCGATACACTCCAAATTCTTCCTTGAAAATCTTGAATATATATTATATGGTGCGCTCAATCTGTGATGTCCCATCCATGTTTTCATAATCTATGACTATGAGGGAGTGGTGGTCGCCAGAGGTTACCACACATGGTTGGGTTAGGTTAGGTTAGGCTAACCATAATTCAAACATATAACGGCAAAAGTCATGGTGGAAATAATTGTCACGGATGGTGATGTTAAAACGGTTAGTGATAACTGATAACTTATCACTAACCGTAATAATATCTAAATAATAACATACAAAAAATTGTCTGAATATTTTGTTATATTTTGTTTTCATTTTGTGCCTAGTGATGAGATTAAGATTCTCGGCCGGAATGTCAATGAACTACCCCTACACGTACTCCGTATACCAATTTATTTTAAAAACACTTACAAACCCGAAAACGATTTATTTAGCTGAAAATATGACGTCGTCTTCTCAATAGTCATTAGTCGTATAACCTGGATGGCGGTTGCATAGTCCGATTTGATGTACAGCGGTCATCACAGGCTCATTCCAAGAGTTTAAAACTTCACCGGATTTTGTGAACGCGCAACACTTGAGATGGTGGGCTCGTCACAAAAGTAGACTTCATGGATAAAAATAACTTTTTAAGTATCTTTTTATCCGTGATTGCATTTGAAACTGTTGTGGTATCTCTGTATCAGCATTTAACACGATTTAGCGGTACTAACCACTATATTCTAATTATGAACATCCGAAACTCGTAACTTCCATATTAATTTTCTTTAGATTACAATACTATTATACCTATTTTGTTTGCTACATATAATTCCTAATATGTATTGTTAGGTTAGTGGTAACCCATTCGCGAGTACTGCAGCAGTTACTGTAGGTACTTAATATATACAATACAGATCGTCGACCGTCGTGAGCTGCCAAGATTATGACGTTTCGGGCTAAGCATAATCAAGGTAAGATGCACATTAGTCACCAGATACAGAATACAGAATATTATTCTTTGGAAGTTTGGAGGATATTATTCCTTGGAGGGGATATTATAAACTATAATAGGTATGCGCTTTGTGCGTACAAAATTCCATACATCCTGCACCAAATTGTTAATTGCACCACCGACCGTATCTCGTTGAGCGGCACGGACCAGTGGTAGGTTTTGTATAGCTGATCAAGTTATTTCTCGCCAACGACGATAGAGCGACTATCACGACGACAAAATATCATAATTCATAATATACACAAGTCATGAAGTTGAGACAAATATACAGCCATCTGTAAATAACATTGAAATAAATCAGTAGGTATACACAGCAACGACGAGGTTAATATAGTATATTAATATGTTATCGTTCTTCGAACTCTGGACCTACGTCAAATAATATTGACCGTATTGTTATATTATCTTATATAGCATTCTCCCCTGTAACATGCATTATAAAAGGTAGGTAGGTATATATTAGTATAATGACTAGATATAATGTCAAATATTTTAATAGAGATCGAATTAGCTTTTTTATCAATAGTGAAATGGTGAATCACCATCAACTGATTGGTTAACAATGCCCGTTGATTTTTTTTTATACCATTATATTTTGTACTTCGAACGAAACCGAATGCATTTAAGTAAACATAATAGGCTTGAGGTTTTTTTTTCGAAAAACCATGTCTCACTATTTAATCATTTTGTTTTTATCATTGAAACGATACAAACACTTGTCAACAAAAGAACGTACCTATTTTGAACGAACTACTAACGAATTAAATGGTGCCAATTGTTTCGTTACATTTAAATAAATACAAAAAATAGAATAAAAAGGATAATAAAAAATGATAACATACCTATACATTTACTTTTCTCGGTATTACTAAATTGATATAACTATACCAAAAAAGGACTTTATCGACTGCTGTCCAAATTCATACTAATTACGTGCTAATTTTTAATTCGATAAATAATTTAGATATTTAAATATTTCACTTGGTGGTGTACGGAGAACGTTACGACTTACGTCAACATAGTCATATATATTTTTTTTCAAAAAATTCGTAATTATGGGTAGTGTGAATCCTGAAAATGGAAAATTCAAATTCATACTTATTTATTATTTTTTTTAAAACGGAAATGGACGCATACACAACCTTTATCCACTAGAATATCTATATGATTTTAACTCTTGAAATTTCAAAGTTCAAAAGTAGGATATTGTTTTCGTGAAAGTAGATAAGAATTATTACTTGAGTTAATAAAAATTAAATTATCTTTATAAAATTGTAAATACTCAGATCTAAATCAGCAAAATGCGTGTACAATACTTTTTATATTGAAGTTCAAAGTACCACATAAAAATTAAATAATGAGGTATGATTTTTTCTATTGTTTTAATTTATAAATTATGATTCGGATAATCAACCACTCGGAATAATTTACAGCACTGATGCTTAATTTCTATAGCTAGTACCTAATAGTCACACACTATTAATCAACAGTAAAGCAAAAACAATCGTACAAATATCAAATATTCAATAAGATACCTAATTATTTATTTATGAATGATATTAATTTTATTTTTATTTTTAAATACAGAAATTAATGTATTTTCTGTATAATTAATTTTAAAAATGGATGTTTTTTT